CTAGGGTCTGATTTTATCCCGAAATAGTTAAATTTTGTCTCGGTTCAAGTTAAAAATATTTTTATTTGAACTAGTTTTAAATTATTTTTTAATTTTTAAAATTTAATTCCACGTCTCGTTTTTAGGTCACACGACAACCTATCGCCTCGTAAAATGTAAAAAAAATTGATTCTCTCGAAATTTAACGAAAATTGATTGGGTAACTAAATTTTGTGAGACAAATCCAACGATGAGGTCCATTTTGTTATCCAAGTTTCATAAAAATTCGAGTGTTCAACTCGTATGGTAGTGGCTAATTATCGTTTTACCCTTTTTCATAAAAATTTAAATTTACTCGATTTTTATAGGTATTACCAGTAGAACCATTGGAAGCTAGATATAGTGAAGAAAAAAAGGTCAATTGCAAATTTTTAGCTCCTAATTAATGAAAATTTCAAAGTCTTAGCCAAGAAAGTTTGCACATTATAATATGAAGAGTTCTTCAACTCTCGAAACGACGAGCTCCTCAGTCGTGTGACCTCGACTAGACTTTTCAGCCTAAAAGCTTTTTAGCTTGGGTAAGAGTTCTTCAACTCCCAAAAGTTGCGAGCTCCTCAGTCGCGCGACCTCGACTAGGCTTTTCAGCCTATAAGATTTTTAGATCGAATAAGAGCTTTTCAGTTCCTCAGCTGCGAGCTCCTCAACTGTGTGACCTGGACTATGCTTGTCAACCTATGAACTATTCAGCCATGATAAGATCTTTTTAGTTCGAAAGCCGCGAGCTCCTTAGTTGCGTGATCTTGACTAGGCTCTTCAGCCTAAGAGCTTTCAAACTAGGAAACTGCGAGTTCCTCAATCACGTGACGTTGACTAGGCTCTTCAGTCTAAGAGCTTTTTAGCTTGAAAGTCGCAAACTCCTCACCCGTGCAACCTCAATTAGGTTTTTTTGCCTAAGAATTTTTTTGCTCGGTCCTTCATAATCCAATGACTTTCAACCCTCTAAAGGGCTAAGTCGAGCAAAGCTTGAAGCCTAACAGTTGTCCAGTTAAAATTGGCAGTAGACAAAAGGATAATCCATACATTGAGAGAAAGGTCCAAATTATATTTATAAGTGGCATGATTGCAAAAAAAAAAAAAAGAGCGAGAAAGAGTCTAGCCCCCCCCCCCACCCCAAATCTTTGCTTTAGCTCAGAGATTTCCTTCTCCAGCTGCATATTTGCGACCTGCAAGCAAGCGTTCTTTGCCTTCAGCTTATCCCGCTCCTTCTCAGCCTCAAAAAACTACTTTTGCTTTTTGAGCCTTGCCTTCCCCAATGCAAACTCTAGCTCAGCATTGTAAACCTCATCTTACTAGAAGAAGAATCTGACAGCTGTGGTGAAAGGTCATCTTGTCGGTGCTTCCTTGAAAAGGTGGCAACATCCTCATCCAACCTAGTTGGAGAGGAGTCTACATCGATAAAAAAGGATGTGGGTTTGGAGCAACAATTGGAACGATAGCTAGGTTGGGCTTAATCCTGAACCGAAAGAGGTTTTGAGGTGTAACAAGAGTGGAGAAGGGAGATGCCTCGCGCGAGTAAGCAGACAGACCCTGATGATCTCGTTCAAAATTAGACCGGGGCCATCTGCATGACACAAACACTGTTACCTCTGTCCAACTAGAAGAACCCTCTAGAAATGAAGGGGAAGAAGGGAAATGAGCACCATTATTCATTTACCTCTGTCCAAAAGACTCCCCTAAGAACGAGAAACTGGGGAACGCTTAGATTGGGCCTCGAAAGACTCCTAGGAATCCCTAGAAAACAAAGAAAAAATGCTAGGTCCATCCCTCAGGGGGGTTAGGGGCATCAAGAAACAGCGTCCGGAAATGATGCCTCCATGTGAAGCGACTAAAGTAGGGGGAATGTCAAAGTCAAAGTCAAAGAAATAGAGGAATTCTGTAACAGTGAAAAAATTATCATAGCCTTGCAAGCGCCAAAGAATGAAAAAGCTCATCAGAGTACCCCCATCCCTCTAGGGAAAGGCGCGAAGGGCACAAGAAAACAAGAACCCTATGACTAGATGAATGGGAAAATGGAGACCCATCTTGAATGCGCCTTCAAAAATACAAATTTCCCGCTGAAGGAGAAGGTTGCAAGGCTCGTTGAGCAAAGGAATCCGGATTGTCAAGCCACCAGGAAGAAAATACTGCCTTCTAACCTCCTCTGCCTCAAAAGCAGTAATAACAGAGGGAAGCAAAAACACTGAGTACCATGGCTCATCAATCATGACATGGGCACACTGCTTGAACAACTTGGTAGGAGAAGAATCCATGGAACCAAGGAGTAATCAAAACACAAAAGAAACTCTAAGGAGAAGTGAGAATGCGAAACGTAAGAAGTTCTAAGATAAAAGGAAGTAGACGACATGCAAAGATGAACAGACGACCGTTACACTCCTATAATCATGGCAAGAGTTAATGAAGACGGTGCCCTAGAAAGTTAGGTGGGCATGAGTAACGAGTCATTTATTGCTTTTTCACCTAAACTCATACACCTTGATCTAAGAATGTATGATACTAGCAAGAAAGAATAGTCGAGCAGAGTTGACAAAAAGTCAAAGAGCCTAGACACACATAGCTCAAGCTTGCACAGCTCAGGACTATACAACACGGGATTATGCAGATCGGGTAAGGTAGAACCCATACTTCAACCAGGTCAAGACTTCCTTGGATTAGGAAGCAAGGGGACAACATAGCAAATAATCAGCAGCACAAAAAAAATTTAAAGCGTTTTTCATTTCAATAAACAAGAAGGATTACACTTTACCAAAAAAAAAAAGAGAAGAAAAATGAAACAACAACGACAAAAACAACAAAGGTTTCAAGGCTAGCTGGATGGAGGCGCAGCACCAAAGGGACCACTCGGAGGAAGGTTGAATCGAGGCTCGAACTGATCCAGGTAAAGGTTAGGAAACTTCACGACCGCTTGGTCCTCAAAATTGAAAAACTCATCTACAAGTGCCTTAGCAGCCTTCATCCTGGTCTTTCTCGATCTCCTTGTGCATCTTCTTGACTAACTAGTGCTCAGCAATCAAGAAATCCTATAGCTCGACAATAATCAAGCGAGATTCATCCACTTGAGCCATCAACACCACCTTGTCGGTTTGATAGCAAACTAGATCATCAGTTTGGGCATCAAGCTTTTATTGTAAGGAGGCCAATTATTCTAATTGAGTCCTCAACTGTTCCCTCAAAGAGATCTTTGAGATCGCAGTGGTAATTAACTATCGAAAAAGCCAAGCCCTCTAATTGAGAGTCGCATCCAACTCGGACTCCAAAGCTAAAACCCAACGCAATAGCTCAGCTTCCCTCCTATGAACCTCCTCCTTAAGATGGTGAATCTCCCCTTGGAGGGTACAGACATGCGGTGCAGCCTGAAGCCAAAATAGAAAGTTGAGTCATTACACATTTGAAAAAAGAGAAGTTGGAGATAGAAAAAGATGATAAACCTTACCTCAATAAGCGTGTGCAAGGCATCCCAACTCTTAGCTCTGAAAGGTCGACTGGCAGAGCAACGGAGGTCGATCTGGGGAATCAGCTCGATAAGGGCTCGGCTGCTTATAGCTACATCATCCAATAGGCTCCCCTCAAGATCGAAAATCGAGGCCAAATCAAGTTGACTTGAATTGGAACCCTCCACGCCAACGGGCAAGAAACTAGGCCAAACTGGCCCTTCCTCAAGATTACTAGCCACGACCCCCACCGTTGCTTCTTCAGCACTAGGCGTTGGTGCTGACACCGACACTTCGTTAGCATTGGGTGGAACCTCAAACGCAATAGGGAAGCTCGAACCTATTGCAGGCACTGGCATTTTTTCGACGCTAGGTGGAACCCTAGGGGTGACATTTGAGCTCGACGCTGGAGCTGGGCTATCCTCCGTAAGCCTGGCCCTCTTTGCAGGAGACCCTAGACCCCGTGCTCACATCCTCTGGCCCACTTGCTTTACAATCACGTCTCTTTCGTTGATCAAGTACGTAGGGACTAAACAAGAAGGGCGATCAAAGGGTAAGCCTAGGGGGACTCACCAGAAAGATACAATGCAATATTAAAGGAATGATAGATACTCACGACTGCTCGGGACCACAGTCAACTCGGGGCGCATGAGCTCTGGGTAAGAAAAGGGCAATCGATCTTGAATTTGATTAACCCATGATTGCGTCTTGCCAGTCAAGGTCGGATACTCACATGCGACACAAAGGAATAGGGCCACAAGCCAAGTTATAGCCTAACAAATATAGTAGGGCAAATTAATAGAAGAAAACTCACCAAGATGTCCACATCTCTCCTATTCTGTAGGAACCCTGACCGATGTCATCATCTAGGGCTCGAACTCCCAACCCATTTCAGACACAAAGAAATAACTCCGCCTCTATCCTTCAGGCTCAAAAGGGAGGTTGATAATAGAAATCTCTCCCTCTACCTTGAGGTAAAGTAGTAGAACTCAGAGACTTCCAACAGGCGAAAGAAGTTAAGAAACTCAGTCAGGTTGGCACGAGACTAAGTGAACACCCGTTCCTATAGCACAAGGAATGCAAAACAGAACCGCCCAACCTGCAGGAAGTAACATAGTAGGGAAAAAAAATGAAGAAATGAAAAACTTCCCTTGCAAAGGGAGGAAGATCAACCACTAAGAATCATGATAAGAGGTAGGTGTTCATGCCATGAAAACGGAATGTGAAATGAGTTGAAGAAGGAAACCTTAAAATAGAAACCAAGAACCCGGAAGAAAAGATTCTAGCACCAAGACAAATGAGTTGCAAGAGTAGGGATCTATTTATAAAGTTTGTAGGAGACGCGTGTTACATCTATAGGATGCCATTAATGTGCATCAATCGCATTTAATGCCACAAACACGTGGCAAACATGGGGTAAATGGGTGCTACTTTTAAGGAGGCACCACCACCACTGGCGGATCATGTTCCCAATCGAATGAAACCATCAAGTTTGGAGTACACAAAAAGAAATGAGAAAAGTCTAAAATAGCCCTAGCGAGCTAAGTCAGCTCGTAAAAGGGGCAACCCTAGTTCCACAAAGGTCAGGGTAATCTTTAGCAGAGCACTATGGTCATAGGACCGCATTGGGCACCACCTCAGCGATGGGCTATGTTGGGCACAACCCATGATAAGCTTTATTACCCACTGGTTAAAAAAAAAACAAACAAACAAAACATGAGAAAGAAGGAGATAGCAGGCAAGAAAGTACACTAAGTATTCATTAACAGAAAAAAGGTAGTACATGGGAAGGAAACTTTAAGTACAAAAATTTGATTATAACAAAGAATAGGTAGAAGCAGCCAAGAGCAAAGTTCATGTGACGGGCTCCCTGTCTTCATCAGCCACCTCAGCGACAGGCTTCCTATCTTCACCAACCACCTCAACAATGGGCTTCTTATCTTCACTAGCCACTTTGGTAGCAACCCCTTGGTGCATACCTACAGGATCGGTAGAGACTGCCTCCCTTGCACCAGTTGGCTTGGCAATGGCTTCTGCAGTCGCACCTGCCGACTTATTTGCCTTGAGCTGTGGCATGGAGGAATCTAGGTCGAGATCAGGATATGCATTCTTGGCTTGTTCCCGAAAGTTCATAAATCCATACACGAAGGTAGTAGCGTTCTTCTTGAGGAGCTCGACGACCTTAACCATTAGAGACGCCACCTCGACATCTTTCCCTTTCAGCTCATCATCCTTGTCTTCAACTGGGCGTCCTTCAACTTGGAAGAGTCTTGATAGTAGGCATTCAAGTCATCATAAATCCTCTTCAGCTTGGCCACCTCGACAACTAGAACAATCACCTTTCCTTTAGTGATGTCTTTCCTCGCCTCAGTGGTGTCTGCGGTGGCCCGAATGTCTCTTAGCTCACGCTCTTTTATAGCCAGATGGCTCACCAGAAGATCATGATGGAATTTTATCATCTTCACACACGCTAAGGACTGAAAAGAAGACATGATCAAAATAAGTAGGAGACTAAAGGACCCAAAAGGGAATAACCCAGCAGAAAAGGAGAATGTGAATGATACCTCAGCCATGCACTAGATGGCGTGCTTGGTCTTTCCTTGAAACTGAACTACATGGCCGCCTCAAGGTTAGAGGTCGAGATCAACTCAGCAAGGGCATCCATAGCCGCCTCAAGGTCTCAAGAAACTCACTCCCCTGGATAACCATCTTGGGAGGGCCAACTTCATCCTTTTTCCCCTCAGACAAAGGTGGCTAAATAGAAGCAGGGACTACCTCCGATGGTTTGACATTTTTCGATGGGAGCTTGCACTTGGACGCCTCGGGGGGTATGGAGAAGGAGGTGGCACCCTCAAGAGAAGCTAAGTCCTCATGTTTTTGCTCTAGGGGAGTGGGTGCCCTTCCTTCCTTAGGAGGCAGCTTAGAGGTCTTTACCATCTTCCTTTTCTTCCTCGTCTTCTTAGCATTAGAAAAGACCGCCATGATAAGATTAGGGTCCATTCGTTTAAGGAGGTCGGCAGACAAAGGTTCTGGAACGTGAGCAGGGTGCTTGTCCACTGGGGGCCCAAGTTCGTGCTTTGCGAGGTTCTCCTCAATCACCAAATCTAAAAAAAATTTTAAACCAAAAGCCTCTGTCTTGGCCGCCCTAGCAGCCTCCGCGACATCGGGTACTAGACAAAAACTTGTTGATCAAATCACAAGTCAGTATAGCAACCATGAATAAAAGTTACTGCCAATATATATATATATATATATTATTCCCGAAATAAAAGTCATTACTCTTGCAGTAAACAGACTTTTAATTTTGTTGGCAGATGGTGCTACTGAAGGGAGACTATATTGTTCGCAAAAATTTTTCATTTCATAGTTAGCCTTTTTCTTGTCATTGGCTAATTGTTTACTAAGTTTCATGTCAATACACATTTTAAGACATTCCTTTTGGATGGTACTAACAAGATTACCATAGGTAAGAGAATCATACTGTATGATTCCTGTGTCCTTACTAAGTGCATCCCTAATTTTATTTGCAAATAGATTGGGGAGACCATTAACAAATTTTTCTTTCCAAAAAGACTTATTACAGTCTGGACGAAGCATGTCTCGAGAGATGAATACATCCTTGTACCATCTAAAGTCACTTGGTGGTGGGCACCTAAGGTTACTAAGCTGGTAATGGATTCTAGCTTCAATGGAACTAGGTGTGCCAACAAAATGTTTAATAATGGTATAAATGAGAGTATTGATACCACAGGTCTACCTTGGCCAAGAGCTTGGTCAAATATAGGTATACCAAACAAAATTACAGAAATTACAATATAAAATAAAACTAAGATACTTACAATACTAGCACTAAGTGAGCTAGTAGTGAAAGGGGATAAGAGAGAAACTCTTCATTTGCATCATTATGAGAGATCTCAAAATATAGGTTTATAGTGGAGGTAGGAGTATTTTGCTAGGTGTGTAATGAATTTTTCCTTAGCAAAAAAAAACTTGCTTCCTCCTTGAAAGAGGAGACCTTAATATAGGCGTAAGGATTACTCCAGGAATCTTTCACCATGATGTCCTTTTTTATTTTATCTCTTGGTAAAAGACTTTCACTCTAACTTTCGGTGGAAAAGTATGGGTGAAATACTTTTACTTGGGTAACTTTTGACAAAAGACAATTATTTGGTCCTGATGTCTGAAAAATAAGATAGAGTGTTAAGTGGGTCCCTGCTCTGGAGAAAAAAGAATATGCTTTTGGTGGAAAAGCAGAGCACATGGGTATTTGTCAGCTACTTTTCTTGGGGAAAGGGCTAATGTACTGATTGATATCTTAACATTATACGTAATAGACAACTTTTCTTTCTTTAGATGAAGAAAGTAGTGATTGAAGCTATCACACATAAGGATAGGAATCAAGGAGAAGCTAGGTCAGGAGTGAGGTCATCAATTCCGACAAATGGATCTTGGCTATCTTGACCCAAATCTACAAATGGGTTAATGGACCCTGCAGATGATGTCGGTGAGAATGAACCACTATAACTTGCTGCCTGTTGAAAAAGTCTCTGGGCTAAGGCAATGAGCTTAGAGGACTTCTGTGTTGACTGCTTTGAGGATTCTGAGGGCTTACTGGAGTCCTTAGAGGAGGACTTCTTATGGTTATGTTTTGCTGCTTGAGGCGGGGCTGGAGCCAGGGTTTTCTTTGGTGTAGAAATCCTAAGGGCCGGTACAGCCTTTGCAGATGGTGGAGTGATTGGTGGAAGGGTAGCTACAACAGTTGATATTGTAACTGGTGCTGAAACCTTTACTGGGAACTCCTTTTTGACTTGGGCAATAATGTGGTCATGCTAGAACCTGGGCCACCATTTCACACTGGATTGCCTGCAAACAAAGTTAGAACAAATTTCCCAAGACCACTTATAGATCCAAAGAAGTTTATATTGGGTAAAGAAAATTAACAGACTCGTGAAATGAGTTCTGTCATAAAAACAAAGTTTATAAACAGAGGCAAAATAAGTGACCTGATCTTGTAGGTCCAAGGGAAGAATTTCAGGTATGGGGCCATGAAGATGCCACCACTATGCGAACCAAGCAGGAATTTGGCCCTTGAAATTCTTATCAAACTGCACGAACCAGGAGTGAGTTAATGACTCATCGTGATAGAGGAGAAGTTTATATCATGAATCAATGTTATCATAGTAGCTAAACTTCTTTTCATATCTCTCGAGGTCTCTGAGTAATGAAGGATGAGATCCCCATTCTTTAAGAGAGATGAACTTTAAAATATATAAGGAATGATATATGACTGTACTGGGCTCTTTCTTATTAAATATGAGTTTGATATAAATAGATTGGGTAAAAAACAAAATATCCTGGTAAAAAGTAAATGCTTTCTCTGGGTCAGATGGGATGAAGTTTCATCCTGGTTCGAGATATGCATTTACTAGGTCTTTTGGGTTGCTTAGGTGAGCATGAATTGGTTCAATAACGAATACTGGTTGGGGTTCGCCTTTCTTAACATAATCAATTTTAGGGCATGTTTGGGCTACAAAAGTTGGTTGGGAACTAGATATTGAGTACGGATTAACTAGTTGACTAGGGGTAACTAGTTGGTTAGTTTTGATGGTGGAAGAATGACCAACAAATTGGGTTGGGCCTTGTTGGGCCATCTGGAGGAAAGTAGATGGGGCCACCAAAGTGGACTGGATTACTGGCCTTATATGACTAGGATTACCAAGAGGTTGGTAACGATTGACAATTTGGATAGAGGATGTTTGTGGGCTTAGCAAGGCTAATGGGCTTGACAAGGCTAATTGTTTTTGTTTGTCAGTATCTCTCTCGACTTTGGAAGAGGTACTGGGCTTAGAAGATTTCCTGTCCGCCATGAGATCACTGCATAAATTCGCAGGTTAGGAAATCAGGAATGCAGTTATTACTGCCTTTAATATATTCGATGTCAAAATCGAAAATACTTAAAATAGATTGCCATTTGGCAAAAATCTGCTTACTAGCAATGTTTTGTACATCATTTTTCAAAACATATTTTGCAGATTTACAATCAACTCTGATTAGAAATTTTTGATTTAGTATATCATCCTGAAATTTAGAGATACACAGGACAATAGATAATTTTTTTTAATAGTACTATAATTGGCTTGTGCTTTATTCCAGATACTAGAGTAGAAACGAATGATTTCCTCTGGGGAGGCTGGAGTAAGTTTTTGTAGCAGAATATCACCGTAGCCAATGTCGGAGGCATCAGTTTGGATGATTTTAAAGGAATCAACCGAAGGAATACCAAGGCAAGACAAAGTTTTTATGAACAGCTTAATTTGTTTAACAATGGATGTATGAACAGAAGTCCAAGGAGGAGGATTTCCTTTGAGTCTGTCATACAGAGGTTTGACAATTTTCTTAAGATCCTGATAGAAGTCAAAAACATAGTTTAGAGAACCTAAGAACCTCTGAAGTTGGATTTTATCTGTGATCTCATCAGGGAACCTATCTGCAAATTGGATAGAACGACTGATGGGAACAATAGTGGACTGTTGGATGTTGTATCCAAGGAACCTGACTTGGGTTTGGAATAACTGAATTTTTCTGGCTGAGATGACTAGACCATTGTGTTTGACTATCTCAAGGAATGCATAGAGGTGCTTCCAATGTTCTTCTATAGATCTGGAGAAGATGAGAATGTCATCTATATAGACTATAGAAAAATGACTAATAGAATTAAAAATTTCATTCATTATATTTTGAAATTCACTAGGTGCATTTTTCAATCCAAAAGACATTACATTTCATTCATAATGGCTAAAAGGAGTTGTAAACACAGTCTTATATCTATCTTCTGGAGATATAAGAATTTGCCAGTAACCACTTTTTAAATCAAATTTTGAAAAAATTACTGAATTATTAAGTCTTTTAATTAAATCCTGTTTGTTTGAAATTGGGTACTTGATCCATTCCAACACAAAATTTAAAGGCTTATAATT